ACAATCTACTGTTAATATGAAGAATTTTCTGTATTGATTTTTCCACAGGTTCTTTTTTTACCTGCATTTTTAATTACGCATTTTCAGGGTAACGGATAATCTCCTGGAAAATTACTAGCACCTTTTCCATTTTTCTACATATTTTTCTTACAGTGTATTAACAGTTAGTACACTGTAAGAAAAATATGTAGAAAAATGGAAAAGGTGGCGAAAAAATTGAAAAACAACCTGCGATTGTTGATGAGTTAGCAACTAACTCATCAACAATCGCAGGTACAAGCTACTAACAAAGTGTCTCATAAATGAACAATAACAGTATTCAGTTATGAAATTATTAGTATTACTATTAAATTAAACAATTGCAAATAGCAGCTAACTTAATTGCTGTGATGTGTGTACTGCTAAGCATCTTTGGATTTTCTCTTTTTGTGTAATGTAAATGGTAAATTGTGCCTTTTTATAGTTTGAGTCACTTATCAAAAGTTGCCAAATTAATTTTAAAAATAGCTAAATATGTTGCTAGGTGCTTTTGGAAGAAACAGTTGCTAGGGTAGTCTGAAAAGTTGCTAAATTTAGCAACAAAATTGCTAAGTTGGCAACACTGTCAACACGTGTAAGATCATCACATTTGGGGGGGACTGAAATGCGTTGGCTTAATGAGTTCTGATTGGGTTATCTATGATACAATAGCCTAAAAAGCATAGTCCTCGTACGATGAGGGCTCTTCATCAGAGCGCGCGGAGATTTTAAAATGGCGCCGTAAAAACCCGCCATATCGCTTTTGGTTGTCCCACCTCAACTTCGGGCGAATTCTTCGCATAAACCCGCCGTATCTCTTCTGCAACACCTGCGGGCTGGTGTTATCCACAAAGTTGTTTCTTTTTGGCCCGAATTTGCGGAGAAACCCACCGTAACGTTTGGCTTCGTTTAAAGGAACGTCGTTATCATAAACTCCTGTTTCGTTTTCCGCAGTCACATCTTTGCCCTCGTCGTCTTCCGTTATCGATGGGACGTCTCGCTCACCCAGTTTCGAGAGCGACTGTCCGTATTTCTTCGTGAACAGTCCTTTTAGTATGGCGTTCTCCTTCCATGGTGAGGCGAAAAACTTATTTTTATTCTTATCTATCCTCTTGATGAAGCCCCCGTATCGTTTGACCAGGTTGGACGCCTTCTCCTGGAGATCCTCTGCATTTAACGCGCTTCGTTCTCCGTCGGCGTCTGGGTTGAGCTCCAGGAATTCATCTGAAAGCTCCTGTAAAGCCTTCTCACATCTGTCTAATGTACTAGTAGACGGAACGGCTCCTTCACATTCTAAAGTGCAAGTCTGCAGAAAGAAAAGTAGGTTCAGATTGACTCTGCGCACTCTTGAAAATAAAAGTTTCAGGACTTTGCATTCTGACACCTGACGTTCCTCAAAGAACGTTTTATGAGCTGGTTCTTTAGTAAAGCCATCACATAAAGAAAGAAGCCCAGTACACGTTCTGCAGAATCTACACAGTAAAAAAAATTCTGTAGTTTTGTACAAAATAATTTTGGCAGCTGTGGTTGCCAGAATAATTCTGTAAAAAATACAGAAAAACGGTAAACACATTTACGGCCAAAAATGGCAAATTTTACTGTATAAAACTGTAATTTACAAACAAGAAAATTTGAATGTAAACCAGTAAATTCAACAATGCACACTGCTGTTCAAATCTGTTTTGTACCTTTAACATACTGACAACCACCATAATAATGCCAGTGATAAAAGAGAAAGCCACATGAAGAATCAAAGCTAGCTTCGCCACAAGCAGAAGTATATACTAATATATAGAAGGTGCAAGAGTCATTCATGCAAACACAAAACACCATCATGGTAACACACATGATACTTAAATAATGCATTCAACTTTCATTAAACAACAGAAGATGTAACATAAAGCCCAAATATACAGAACTAATAACAAACACTTAAAAAAACATGATTATTTAAACAAAATACTTTCAAATGTGGAGTGTCATGCAGGGAATATCAGTTTACAGTTTTTGACTGTAAATTATACATTTATTTGTTATTTTTACTTCTAAAAACTGTAAAATTAACAGCATTTTACTGTAAAATTACATGAAATGTCTGGTTAGATATGGTACAGTTTTTCCCTGTATATAGTATGGGAACTTACTGTTAACCTATTAACAGTTTTTTTCCGTAGCGTTTTTACAAAATTTTATTGCTCTTATTTTTTACAGTGTAAAATTAAACATCAAGTGCTTTTTAATCTCGAAAGAATCATATAGGCTACCAACTCGAGAACTCCATACAGCCAAAAATAGTTATTGATTATAAGATGGTTGTTTGAAAAAACATGTAGCTCTTGATAAACATTAGGAATAGAACCAATTCAGAGGTTTTATTGCATGATGCCATAAAGATTTTTTTTGCAAATAACATTTTAACTGTAAAAACATCTAAACCTTTTTTTTTTTTTTTTTATCTAAACGTTGTATGCCGAAACCGTAATTTGTCATTTTACAGCGGAAAGCCATATCTAATATGTATTTTTTTTCAGTATAGGTTTCTCCAATATGATCATCTAAACCAGTGGTTCCCAACACTGGTCCTGGAGGCACCCCAACACTGCACATTTTGCATGTCTCCTTTCTCTGACACGCCAGTTTCAGGTATTGGAGTCTCTACTAATGAGCTGATGACCTGAATCAGGTGTGTTTTATTAAGGAGACATGCAAAACGTGCAGTGCTGGGGTGCCTCCAGGACCAGGGTTGGGAACCACTGATCTAAACGATCGAGCTTTCGTCGCGCTCTCCATGGTGCTGAATGCGCCCGCCCCAAAATAGATGTGCCCAGTTTAGTTGTAAATGACAAAGGATGCGAACATTTCTAATTTCTATTACAGAGGGACCTTTCTATTTTTCATTTATAAGTGTTAGATTTGTATTCGATTTAGTTTGAAGTGGGTCTCTCCTTTTCATTCATATTACCATTCATTTGATAATTTGCATTATGCTACCATCCATGCTTCATTTGTTCAATTTAGTCAATGCTTTATACTCTTTGCACTCCTGATTAGACGCTAACTTTATTTCACTGTGCATAGTACAAGTAGGCAACAAAACCAATAACGATAAAGTTGCATCTGTTTCTGTCGGTTTTGCCAACTTTTTTAATTCATTACATTTATGACAAAGTTAAGTGCATGCAAACACCGTTTCAAAATAAGGAGAACTGAGAGTAATCTTACCAAGCGGTTCACTGCAGAGTCCAGGTCGGAGATCTGTTGCGCGCATCTCATGCATTGCGCTGAACAATCTGCCTGACTCAAGGTTGGCAAGCTCAGCATCAACACCAAAACATGCCACTCCATCATCTACAGCGATTCCTGTGGTGCGAGAGAAGAAAACGAGCTTTAAGTGCACTATCTCAGATAATCTTCTCTGCTGGGAGGTGTTTGAGGTTTTTCAACAATTCATCAATTATGTTTGAGGTCTTTGTTTGTCTAGGTAGGCTATGTTGTCTTTTCTTACCCGTTTAATATCCCAAACCTTTACGTGTGCCAACACAAAATCTCCTGTTACCTTGAGTACCTACAGAGCTTCTTGTTCTCCAAGCGTCAAGGCGATCACTTGGCGAAGCTGGCTGAAACTTCTTTGTTCTCGTGTCCTTTGACGAAGTCACTCTTTATCCATCTACGGTTTGCTCTTACTTGGACTCAGTCTCCATACTTTTATTCACACAGCCACCTGAATGAACCAATGAGAACAACGAGCCAGCGGATTGACTGGTCCCACCCACGCGACGATGCAACGTTTCAGGAATAATAATAATAATTAAAACAATAATGAAATGTGCTCATATTAACGCAAAGGGGTTAAGAATGTTTTTTAAACATTATATGGATAGGCTTCAATGTTTAATAGCTAAGGCTATACGAAGTTAGTTATAATTATTTACTTCACAAGGGTAGAAAAGTCTTTCATAAAATTAAAAACACACCCACTTTGAAGGGGAGCGTGTGCCACGGGTAACTTGTAGGCTACTCAAGGCTGCAGGTTTGTCTTCTCTTTTCAACGACCACAGCTCATTTAACAAGTCAATTCCATTCTCATTCAACAAGTCAATTCCATTCTCATTAAACAAGTCAATTCCATTCTCATTCAACAAGTCAATTCCATTCTCATTAAACAAGTCAATTCCATTCTCATTCAACAAGTCAATTCCATTCTCATTCAACAAGTCAATTCCATTCTATTATAGCCTATTATGACCCATTTCTAATGAATCGATTTTTTTTACTCAAACGTTCTTAAACAGAACACTGATTTTAGTTTTTTTGTAATACACTTGTGATATGCAAAACTATAATAAAGTAATAAATAATCCAATTTGTATATGTTTTTGTTGTATCCTCCAGTAACAAAAAGCACTGTTGCTATGGATATGTCCTCACTCAAGCATGATTTCTTTTCGCTTCAGCATATATTTGAAATCTATTGAAAACGCTCCCTGACTAATTTGTCTAAGTTTTGGTATGATGTGGATTT